GGGCCTGGGGCGGGGCCCCGGGAGGCGGCCCCCAGCCATAGCGGCTGCTGAGCGGTTTGAGGGGCGGCTGGAAAGCCGAGGCCGACGGTAGGCGTAAACTTCACCTGTTGGAAAATGCAGGGATCTACACGTTGAGAAAGGTTAAAATTGGTGTCTTTTTCACAGTTAGGGCATGGTTGTAAGCGTTTTGCTTCAGGGTCTTTCCGTGATCATCTTACTGCTGGGCGACTTCAGCTTATTCGATCAGGGACTGCAACTCTGCTCTCCAGTGCACCGATTAGTTTCTGAAGTTCAATTAAAATATCCTGTGAGTCGTGTGCCCCCCCACCCCCAGTGCATTACACTACCTTAATGTATTAAGATCTGTAAATCTGTTTTCTCAATGAAAATAGGCCCAGTATCCATAAAGACACCACAAATAACAACGAAACAACAGCCTCAAACACTGTCAAACAGGCCTGTTTGGACCTCATGAATAAAACGGTATTTCTTCAGAAAATCCTGTTCTATCCCGCTGCCCTGTGTGGTGCTTTTTATCAGCATAACAAGGCTCTGAGCACGTTATCTCCATACCTTGGTACCCATTTTTCCATTTCTTGACCATCTCTTTTACCACCCTTGTAACCCCCCTTCTCTGCCCCTGCATAACCCTCCCCTAATCACTTTTCCCTGTTGTTCCTAGTTTTGTTGTATTTGTACCCATATCCAGTATTTCTGATACTATCACTTGGGCAGTCTTGGCCTTACTTGGTGCTGCTGAGGTACTAATACAGTTATCGGGCACTCTTGGCACTGCAAGTTTCTAGTTTCCAAAGGACCTTCAAAACTACTCTCCAGTTATCAGAGTAGTTCAGTTGTTTTTCATGTAACTCCCCCTCAGCCATCGGTGAAATCCAGCCATCCCTCCCAGCGCCATCTGCAGCTTTTGCTAGTTTCTCACACTGTTGCATGTCACATCCAGCAATTTCACATGTCATATCCAGGAGTTTTCCATGCCCTGCTTAGTTAGCTCAAGCCAGGGCCCCCTCCACAGCTTGTTGACCTGCCTGCAGCCCTTACAGGTCCTGTGATGCTGCTGCCTTGTCCAGCTGGGCATCACCTTGACACAGTTACCTGCTTTTGGGAATTCTGTCCCAAACAATTTCCATCAAAATGAGGCAGATTAAATGCTGTGAATAGTAGTTCTTTGTTACTCTAATCCATTGGAACTGAAACGGGGTAGGAAGTTCTTGCATAAGCAGTTTTGAGCAGAGTTGTTTGCAGCTGCTCACAATCCAAAATTGTTTACACTTAAAATTTCCCAGGTCTGTGGCCTGGGGATGGAGCCAGCATGTCAACATTTTCCTAGCTTTTGCCAAGCAAAGTCTGGATGAAAGGTTACATCCCAAATAATTGTTAATGCATAACAAATATTGGAGAGTGATATAACCAGCCATTTCAATCTACACAGTGCAATCAGCCTGCGTCTTAATAAGTATTTCTAACATGTTTTCACGAACTTATTTAATCAGAAGCATAGACAAAACATATCCTCTTAGTACATCCTGGTTATTACAATTTAGCTATTGGCCTACAGCCATTGTACTTTATTGAAACTGTTAAAATGTTATTAAAGACTTTCTCTCCTTTAATTCCAGAGCAGTTTCCATTTCTGAGCTGCTTAGTCACCTCTTATTAGCACTGCAGGCTGCCCTCCCAGTGGCCTAGCCTCATACTCGTAGGACTGTATTTGCACATCCCTGCTGCCAGAGACGCTGAGTCTGCTTTTTCACTTCAGGGGCTTCGTAAGATCTCAGAAAGACTCACTCTGCAGTGACTGTTTTGCACTTCCACTGTAGCTGCTGTGTGTTCCCCACCAACCTGGAACATGACCTGACAGACAAAGAAAGCCTCCTGCAAACATCTGTGAGACTTTCCTTCTCCTGTTGACTGCGCTCTGCCACTCCTGGAAGGTATTCTAACGAAAGTTGTAGAAGTCTGGGTTGTTGATCTAAGGCTGCCTATCTTACAGTGAACCACAATGTGATAAATATGATGCAATACAATATATATAATGGCTGGCTGCTTTAGGAAAAAAACCTCATGAACCTTAAAACATTAAATACCTTCCTCTCCCACCAGTAAGATGACAAAGCATTCAGAAGTAGAAATATAAAATGCCTATGAATGAGAAGCTGGCTAGAGCACAGAAATCCAGCTAAGTCTCTGATAAAATAAAAGACAAAGAGGAAGTTCAAACTTTCTTCATTCTAATGTGGCTTGTATGACAGCTGTCTCATCATCACACACTGCATTTACCCAACTGTCAAGCCAAGGCAGAGAAGAGACCTAAGAAACAACTTAACAGTAGGGAACAGAGAAAATGGGATTGCGCAGGCTGCGTGAGGGAGCTGGGGTTATTGCAGCAGGGTAAAAGGTCCAAAAAAGTACACGCATTGTGAGAATATGGCATTGTTGTGTGGGGTGGCTTAACATAAAGAGCTGGATCAGTTACAGGAGGCAAAGGACGTAAAATAGGAAACAAAGTTTTGTATCTTATGTTACTTGCAGAATAACTTTAAAAAAATTTAAAATTAGAAAATAGAAAGACTGAGTATCTGGGAATGTCCCAAATAACACACAGAGGGAAGGACTGTATCTGGTGGCTTTAAACTGGAGATGAGAATTTTCCCATATTCAAATGGCTTATAATGAGAAATATGACCATATTCTGAAACAACAATGGAAGTTAAATAACTAACTCCCATCTTTAGCAATTTATGTATATTTGAACAGTATGGCTGTTCAGAGTATGGCTTTACAACTCAAATTTTGCAGTTTATTCTATGTCAACACAGTGAAGTGTGCTCAGATGCATATAAAATTCACAAGGGAAGAAGGCGTACAATTAATTTCACCCTCAAAAAAAAGATCATACAACTTTTGTTGACTTTTATGATGCATAATTGGCCAGATCAAGTACTCCTTAATTACTAGCAATACTAACACCAGCCCAGGTCTTGTACTTCAGGCAGAAATCTCTATGATTGATCTCACACAGGCACAACAACTGCTGCCTTCAAAATCATGAAGTATTCAGTTCCTAAATAGGTCAAGGTATTTCAAGTCCTCTAAAATTCCGTTTCCCCACTATTACAAATAATAATAAGAAAAAAAAGCCTTGCATTTGTGTTATTTGATTATAATAAATAACTACTTCTCTGCTCCTTGTGGCTAATGGGGCAGTTCACAGCAAATAATAGTTGCTTGCCAAATCATAAAAATCTTAAGAAAATGCTAACACAGTGAGAATTGACTATTGCACTATAGTAAGAAAAACTTGAGACTGGAAATTCAGCAGTGCAAAATACAATGTAATGCAGTTGGGAAATAAGAACTTTTGCTGTAAAACTGGGAGCTCATAAATTACATGACGAATATTAGTTGAGGAAAAGCGAGGCATTAGAAAGAGAAGTATTAACTACAGAAGACGTTGCTGGGGTTTTACCTGGAATGCTACATATAATTGTGCTCATCCAATGTCAAGGAAACATTACAATCCAGAAAAGTGAAAAAAAAAATAGGTGTCTGAAGGAATGGAGAACCTATTGCACCAAAAAAGATTGTAGAGATTGTCTCAATTAGCCTAGGATAGCAAAGCATGTCTGTAGTTTTCCATGTGTTAACACATCAGGAAGGTGACCATATATATCAGAAGAGTTACCTAACTTGGCTTTCTTAAATAGTGACCTAGACTTGATGGTCGTGCCTTTCAAACTTTGTTCGTATGCCTAAATCAGAACACATTCGCCATGAAAACCGATCAAGTCTTTTATGCCATTGCATTAAAAGAACTGTGAGAATTTAGGTATCTAAATAATTAAAAGATTTGGGGAGTAGTATCAAAAGCAACCTCCCCTCCCCCAGGTTGTCATAGTCTATAGTGTAACAAAAAAAATTACAATTGTATACAAAACCAAGTAATTTATTTAGAAAATTTAGAGCTATTCACTTGTATATTCATAGAAGTATCAGAGTCAGAAAACTAAGCAATTTCTGGTAAGAATTTCTGTGTAAACATATAAAGAAAACAAATTATTTGATTACAAATAATTGTACTGCAGATTTGTGAAATTTCCCTTGC